ACTCCTAGGGGCTGAGGTTCCTTTGTCCCCCCCCCCAAAAAAAAATATTTGAGGGCTCCCCCCAGTTGATGGGCATTGCCATTCAGATGGTGTGTGTGTGCCACGTCATGTGAACAATTATGTGGGGTGAGGCCTACTTGCCCCCCCCCAATATTTTATTCCTGTGGTGAGGCTACAGTGAACCTACAGTGAAGTCTGGAAGAAGCACGTTGGCCAGCAAAAGTGGACCAGGTAGCAAAAGTGAGTGATCAACAAGTAAAGACAGTAGCAACATGATACCCCAGCTCTCCAGTATATCCAGGCTCTTGCCCCAAGTGCTATGAATCATTGCCCTCAAGCATCCACAGAGGAAAAAAATAAACACAGGAGAGGGTGGCAATAAGTCTACAATAAATTGCGGGTGTAGTGACTGCGTTGTGGCTTTGTTTTTAAAAAACTGTCTCTCCCAGAAGAATCATGGAACTATACACGATGTGTAGTTCTACCTTAAGTAAAAAAAGAGTCAGAATCCATTAGGTATGTATCTGGTTAGCTTTGAAAGTTTAAAATTGACAAGTTCAAAAGTTTACCTCCGTAACACAGAAAACATGGGGAAAGTCCACTAAAGTGACACTAATCTTATTTAAGCCAGAAGATTTTCTCCCGCATGAGACTGAATGCAGAAAAGCTGGAATTTCCAGGTGATGCTAATCAGACCCAGCAGAGAAGCAACTAGAAAGCATACAAATTAGCCCTCCAGTTTCTACAATGGCAGCAAATAAGAACTGGATTCAATAAGGTATCCACGTGACATGGGAACTGAGGAACATGCTACTGGTGTGATCTGTTACTTTTTTCATTTTAGCCCCAAATCTCAATTCAAAGGTAAATTTTAGACGTTTTCTTCAGATTCTGAAATCTGATTCCCAGGAATATACTGATCAGCTGGTGACAACCAGCTACTCTCCTCTTTCTTCTGCTGACTTGCCACTAATTATGTTGTTGAGCTGGGGGAATGAAAATACTTTGGCATGCTTTGTGTTACTCCTGAAGCCTCATTGTTTCTGCTTTGTGTGAGATTTTCTTAGCAAAGGAGGAATAAGAAGCTAAAATTAAGTCCCGTCCTTAATCTTCTTTATTTTAGACCAAGCATATCCCATCCCTACATGCTTCCCATGTAAGAATTTCACGGGTTAAACTAAGTACACACTGAATTTTTGCCTAAAGTGATGTATCATATTCTTCTAGGGAAGTGTCTGCCTGACACGGTTAGAATATTTTTCCTGTGGCAGATTAAATGTAGACAGTTCAGTAACCACCCCACAGTTCGGTTTGTATATTAACGGCAATATAGTCAGTACTCTGACAAATGACGTACATTGTGAAATGTTGCCAATTGCCGGCGTTGAACTAGACTGCAGATGCCGTGTATTTTAGTCACTAAAGCAAAGATTAGTGGCATACCCACTAGTGAAAAGTTGTATAAATTGACACAACTGGAGCCATTTGTGTGCTTTCTCACCAAATTTAACAGATGCAAAATGGTGCTTGTTGACATAAATTTACTGCACCATGTCTCATTTGTTTACTTCATGCTGCTTTGTGCTCTATCATGGCAGCAGAGTCAATTTTAGGGGGCGGCGGTGCTTCAATGTTCTGTCTTTTGGCTTTCCCAACAGTTTGTGAAACAAACAGGCTTTTTTTGTAAAGCTTTCAGTATCCATAGCATCTGAATGCCACATATTAGCAAGTTCCTGATTATAAGGCTGATTACTTAATTAGGATGTTTCTAACGTTCAAGAAGTGAAGTAAGAGTGTCAAAAGGAAGTTATTTAGTAAGAAGAGCATAAAAAATAATAGATTTACATAAAAGATCAGGAACTAAAACTAGAAACTTCTTGCTGGGTATGCTGAGAATTATGCAAGAGTTGTATTCAATGCAAAGTTACTGTAATAATTCCATTCTGTGGAAGAGTGAGGCTGCATATATCTAAGGCTCATATTCTTAAATGTAATACTGATCTAAGAATAGGGAAGATATTTGATTCAGTTCACATTAAAAGGCAAATCAGCCAAATTTGCACTTTCAAAACTTATATGAGAACCAAAACACAGCTATCCTTTGAAAGTCACACATCCGAATTTTGTGATGTAGTTCTCTAGTGAAATAATGTTCACAAAAATGCATCCATTAGGAGAACATGTGCATAAAAATGAGATTAGTGAAAATAGCACACAAGAATATACCATATTATGGGAAAATACTTGCAAAAATGTGTACATTTCCATATAAAAATATGTTTATTAAGAGACATTCACACTAAAACATTGACATATTTTCGGGAGAGGAAAAAATGCTGCAAAAATGTAGAGAACTGAATGTAGGAAAAATAAGAAACTGAAAGAACCAAAACTGATTGATCCTACCATCCCTGTCTAAGGGGCATGAGGACCTTAACAAAGATTCACCCAATTTCATAGAATTGTACTGTTGGATTCATTTCAATTGGACTAAACATGAGGCCTCTATTTTAGGTAACCATAATGGTTGTGACAACAAGCTTTTTATATGTTTCAGAGCTTAGTGACAAGAGTAGTGAAATGTCAGTTGTTGGTTTTTTTTAAAAAAAATACAATACTTCCTCACAATAAATATCCAATTAACCTGGTAGGTCAGGCGTGGGGAACCTTTGGCCCTACAGGTGTCACTGGAGTACAACTCCCATCATTGATGGCCATACTCTCTGGGGCTGATGGGAGTTATAGTCCAAAAGCTTTTGGAGGGACACAGGTTCCCCACCCCTGCGGTAGGTGATGGGGCAAACAATGCTGCAAAAAGGACCTCTGTTCTATTCATCAGGAATGCATAGTGAAAATGAAACCACCTCCTGGGGCCAAACTAGACAGGATGTTAAATGCATGAATGAATGTAATGTGTCTAATCTTGGGGTGGATTGTCCCTCCTGCCTTTAAGTGAGCCCTGAAAAACTTGTTTTGGGTAAGCTCTGACCACAAATTTTATTTTGAGAGCCTGAAGGAACATTGCTTTGTACCTACACTTCACAATTCTACAATAACAAATCATCCTGTATAATTATTATTTTTTAAATCTGGATTTTACAGACACCACGGTTTCCGGTCTAACCCAATGCTTTGTTATTACAATGGTAAGCAACATGCTTACTCCTTTCCTAAAAAGCATATGCTATAACAGATACCTTTCCCCTTATCAAATTATGGTTACCCACTTGATGGAGGAAGGCACCACACCTACTCAGAGGAGCATGTCTCTGTTATCACCTCGTATATGCCAGGTCTAAGACCAGTCACTTGCAAAACAGATTGTGGGACAAAGCCATGGCTGAAACAAAAATCTGATGGCATTGTAAACACTCTCAAACGTTTGTAGGATAGAGAAATGAAACAATGTATAGATATAAAAAATGTAACAAGTGTCACCAACTTTTGGGAGCCCAAGGGCACACCTGTAAATCAGAGCAAATGTTGCGGACACCACACACACATAAACACACACAGTGCTGAAATACAAACTACAGCCTATTCTATTTCCTGCAAGAAAATGTTTTTAAGCACTTTGAGGAGGAAAGGAGGGGACCCTGTCGGAGCTAGGGAAGGCCTCTGTAGGCACTGGCAACCCCTACAATATGGATTCAACATACGTAGTCTTCCATTGCTTGGTATATGTGTGCTTTTCTTTCCCCAGTCCTTTTGTGAAGATTTACAAGTCTAGCCTACCCCGTTAGGGAAATGATTTCTTCCTCTCTAGGGAATGGATAAAAAGCAAAGAGCAAGTCTAGCTCAATTTGAATGATAACCAAGGCAGCAAAAATCTAATAGCTCAATGTTTTGCCAGTGGAGAAAAACTCTTCCCAGTGATTGGCTTGCAATGATTATTCTTACAACACACTTGCAATAGTGTGTATTTCTTTGCGTTTTGCCACACATTTTAAATATTTTGGTTAAAATTCTGTTAACAATTATTTCACAATAAGAGTCAGATTTAGAAGTCACAACCTAAAGTTCACTATTTTAGAGCTGGGTAGCCATTGTATTTTGACATAGGTTCTTGGATTATTGGATTTACTTACTTCTTGGATTATTGGATTTAGTTAAAAATCATAGAGCTCAATGAGATTCATTCCCAGGGTTGAATTCAAGTAAGTTCTACTCAGACTACAACTATTGAAATTAATGAACCCAAGTTAGTTTTTAATAAACTTTAATGGGCCTATGCCAAGTAGGAATTTTGTCTCATATTTCGGGTTCTACAAATGCCTGAACTGATGGGTGGTAATCCTACTCAGAAGTAAACCCTACTGAATCCAAGGGGGCTTACTCCCAGCAGGTAAGACAAGGCCTAAAGCCTTCATCTTTCTTAAGAAAGCACTTCTTGCATCATCTTACTTCGGAGCAGATATGGGTAGGATTGTGCTGCAATAAGCATTAAAGCTTCATATACATGGCTGCGGCCTAAGAATTTATGTTTTCTTTTTTGTGGTTTTATACAGGCAACCCCGTTTATGTGCATTCCATAGGTGCGTGAATGACAGCACACAAACGCATCATGCCAAACCCAAAGTGACCCAAAAACTTCACAAAAAATTGTGGAAGGGGGTGTTTGCAGGCTTTCTCAATGGTGTTTCAATTATATGTGATTACACTTAAACGTGCAGTGCCTTGGAACGCAATTCCTCACGTCAATGGATGGTTGCCTGCCTGTACTGCAAACTGCCCTGTGACCCTCAGAAGGAGGGCGCTATATAAATTTAATAAATAAAAAGCAGCGACCCTAATCCTACCTACTCATAAATAAATCCCACTGATCCCAAGGGGACTTACTCCCAGCAGGTCAGTGGGATGAGGCCTGAATTCAACCTCTTTCTCAAGAAGTATCACTCAGATCACCTCTTGGGTAGCCCCAGGTAGGGCTTGCTATGCAACACACATAGAAAGCTCCAACTAAGTCCTACTGTGAGCAAGCACTTCTTACTGCAGCTTACCTTTTGAGTAGCCACAGTAAAAACTGCATGTACATGAGAGCAGCCTCAGAAGCAGTAGGCCCTATCCATGCCTATTCAGAAACAAGTCCTATTCAGATTTCTGACACTGGAAAGAACAGGTCTCTGAAAATAAAGAGACGACATATGTACTTTTGTAAGACAAGAAAACCCTCAATTAAAACAATTTTTAAAAGATGTTATGTTTAAATTAGATCAAAAGAATGGATTTCTGGACCAAAGCTCACAATTTGAAAAAGAACTCTTACAAAATAAGGACAAACTTTTGTCTAAAATGTAAAATTTTCTACTAGAATGGGAAGCAAAAGACAAACTTGTTAAAGCCTCAATGACACACTGGGCAATAGATATACAATATAGATACACAATATAGATCTCAACCTCTAGAAGAAACTCTGGAAAAGTGACCTGAAATTTATAGCATGTTATTCATTGAAAATGAATTAATGATTAATAGATGGTACTTAACTCCAAATAGGTTGACTAAGATTTAAAAAACAGAATCAGATATGTGTTGAAAGTGTAAAGAAGCAGAGGGAACTTTTTTTTACATGTGATGTACATGTAAAAAGGTAAAAGTGTATTGGGAAATGATTTATAATGAATTGAAAAAATGTTTAAAACTACTTTCTGGAAAAAAACCTAGAGTCCTTTTTGTTGGATATACCTAATTCCTAGGTGTCAGAAAAGGTTGTTTATGTATGCAACAACTGTGGCCCGTGTGTTGTTAGCCCAAAAAATGGAAAGTGAGCAAGGTCTTTCCAACTTAAGCTGACAAAATATGCAGAACTTGCAGACTTTATAAAGTAAGAGATCAAGAAGAACATGCATTTAAAGAAGACGGGAAAACATTTATTGAATATATGGAAAATAACTGCATACAGCTGAAAATGCTGGCAGCGTTAAGATAAATCCAACAGAGTAAATAAGTTTTGATGGATGCAAAAGTGGAAAACTTTGATTTGAATGGTTATAGTAAAATATGCATATGTAAAATGAACCATGGAAAGAGAAGAAGGGAAGTCACTGGATATTTAAAAAAGTTTGTAAGATGCTTCTTTGGAAATATAAAATTGAAAAATCGATAAATAAATGTGAGAGAGATACATATATATGAGAGAGAAGATGTCAGTCCTATTGAAGCCAAAGGCACTTATTCCCCTCAGGTAAGCGGGTTTAGGACAGCAGCCTTCAGGTAAGGCAGCCGGGCCTGATCCTGCAGCGCGTCCGAGAGAAGCTGTGAGGGAAACTGGCGGCGGAGGCAGCTCCTCCTCCTCCTCCTCCCGCCGCTGCCTCCTCCCCTTTCCTCGCCTCCTCCCGGCGGCGGCGGCTACCCAGAGAGCTGCACAGCCACGGCCAGGCAGGCGCGAGGAACGGGCCTCAACCGCCGCTTCCTCCTCCTCCTCTTCCTCCTCCTGCGGGCCCGAGTCCACCAGAGGCTGGGGGCGAGGGCGACGCTCCATCCCCGGCGGCGCGGCGACAGCACCCGCTACTCCGACTTACCCCTGGGCCCCGGCTGAGGAAGCGGCGCCGGCGCGGCCCAGCATGCGAGTGTGAGATGTTTCGCCCGTTGTCGTCGGCAGCAGCAGCGGCTCCTGACTGGGCCCAGGCGGCTTCGGCGGGCCCCGCGCGGCGGATGCGACTCCGGAGCCGGCGCTTCGCCCTCCACAAACATTTCTATAGGACTCATTCGCCTTGCTGAGGAGAATATATATCTATATATTCTCAATATATATATTGAGGAGAGAGAAACACATACGCAGGACCAAAAACAAAACCCCCCTCCCCTCATAAGAGAGCGAGAGAGAGAAGTAAGAGGCAGGCAGAGGCCTAAAGCCTCCCGAGCGGCCGTTAGTTTTCGCCCCTCATCAAGGCTCCCCGCCCCCCCCCCCGCGCAGGCACCGACACTCACACCCCCGGGGCCCCGTTAGGTCCATGGAGGCGGCCGGCCGAGCCCCGCCGCTCAGCGCCGCCCAGCTGGGCCGCCTGCGGGACGAGCATGGAAAGGTAAACTGGGGGCGGGGAAGGTGGGCCTGGGGAGGGGAGGGGGCGAGGGACGGAAGGCGCCCTCCTGGTGGGGAGCCGCGTGGCTGTGAGGAGGGCAAGGGGGTGTTCTGACGCCAGGCCCGGCGCCTCAGGCCTGGTCGGGGGCGCCTCGTGAGGTATGGGTGAGGGTAGGTTGGGGGGTATTGCTGCTGGTATTGGGGAGGGGCCCGCGGCCCGCGAGGGTCGGCTGGCAGGGGAGCGGAAGGGGACCCCGTCAGGGGGTGTGTCAGGCACGCTGCCTGTGTCATGGCAGCGCCATGTGGAGGGTTTGTTTTGCAGAGGGTTTCCTTTCCACTTCCCCATGTATGTGTGTATGATGGACTTTCCTCTCTGTGTGTGTGTGTGAGCGAGAGAGCGCGCGCTTTAAACAGTGCAATTATTGGTAACCCCCCCCCAAAAAAACACCCTCCGTAGTGTGAGTTGACAATGCAATTTTAACCTTTCCTACTTGGAAATAAGTTCATCTAGATGGTACCCAGTGCTGTTTCTACTCGGCTTAGACCCCTTGAAAGTAACGTGGTGGTTATTCTTACAACACTGTTTTAATGTATATTTACTTATATATTTTACTACAGTTAAATCCTTCTTCTTTCTTGAAAGTGGCATACATAATTCTACCCACTCCTCATTTAATCCCAACAACAACAACCACCCTGTCAAGTAGGTCAGGCTGAAAGGCAGTGCCTGGCCCCTTATTATTATTATGGATGGCTTCCAACAGAATATTAAAATACAGTAATCCATCAAACATTAAAAGCTTCCCTAAACAGGGTAGCCCCAGGTAGGGCTTGCTCCAAGGTCACCCAGGGAGCTTCATGGCTGAGTTGGGGATTTGAGCTCTGGTCTCTCACTGGCCCTAGTTGGACACTGCGTTATCTCTTGTCTCCCCAAGTTGGAATTCAAGGTGACTTCCAACATTTAAAAACAACATTATAAAATACAGTACAAAGTGATAAGCAAGCTCGCTTAAAAAAAACTAGTAAAAAACAATAGATAAAATACACCACAACACATTTAAAACCAGTAATTAAAGTACAGTTTGCCTTGTTTAGCAGTCCAGTGATCAGCATCTTAGTTTTTGAAGGCCTGTCTGAACAAGGTCTTAGCCTGCTGCCGAGAAGGATTGCAAAGAAGGAGCCAATCTAACATCTTTTGGGAGGGAATCTGGGAGGAGCCTCAGAAAATACTGTCTCATGACACCACCAAAAGCTATGTCATATCCATTACAGTGGTACCTTGGGTTACATATGCTTCAGGTTACATATGCTTCAGGTTACAGACTCCGCTAACCCAGAAATAGTGCTTCAGGTTAAGAACTTTGCTTCAGGATGAGAACAGAAATCGTGCTCCGGTGGCGCGGCAGCAGTGGGAGGCCCAATTAGCTAAAGTGGTGCTTCAGGTTAAGAACAGGTTCAGGTTAAGAACAGGCCTCTGGAACGAATTAAGTACTTAACCCGAGACACCACTGTACTTCCAGTGGGTCTATTCTGAGTAGAACTCACATTGGATACAAATCACGGTGCTTCAGGTGGGGCTTATGTCCAGGCAACTCTGCATGGAGTTGTAGGCTAAAATGCAAACTTTACTTGGGAGTAAGTTCCGTTGAACTTCAGAGGACTGGCTTCTTAATAGGCCAGAGTTGTAGATAAGCCCACAAAAGTTTTTGGCCTGCGATTAAAACTTTTCTAAAACAAGCCTCCAGAGGAATAGTAGTGTTTGGTTTCTGTGCTGGGTGCACTAACTAACTTGCTCACTTGGCCTGCATTCAGTTCTTGACTGCAACTACTAGAGCTGAAATAGTGCTGCATACTAAAAAGAAAAAAGACATCGAAACATACTATTTAACCTCTTGAAAGTTGCAATGACACATTTATTTGGAAGCGAGTCCACAGAAATTGGTAAAACTTACTTCCAAGTATGTGGTTTGTTTATGAGAGTTGAGCATGTTCAGTAGCTACAGAACTTTTGAGTGTCAGTTTGGAAAGAGAAACACAAAGGGGGCCACAGAATGGGTTAGGGCAGTGGTTTTCAACCAGTTTGCTGTGCCACCCTGGGGCAACACTGGCTTCTGTTCTTCTTTCCTTCCCTCCCTCCTCTGATGCCCTCTCGCATCTCTGCCTCCCAAAGGCTTGCACAGCTGTTTATTGCAGCAGCCCAGCCTACAAGCTCTGCGGGTGAATGGTGTTTCTGGAGCTGGCCAGGGGGTGCTTCCCAGGTCTCTGTGGGGCAATGTGAGAAGGCACCTCTCTTTGGGGCAGGGGTGGGGCAGCTCAGAGACCAGGGACGGCAGCTGCGGCTGCCCAGAGGAATCCCAGGGAGAGGAGAGGTGACTGAGGGAACACTCTACAAGGGAGGGTGTTTGAGAAAGGGTGAGGGGCTGCCAGCTCTGCATGCAAGGGGTGACATAACTAGGGTCCTGAGCCCTACAGGGGTGCTGCAGAAAGAATGTCGTTGGTCAAGGGACTGAGCCAGGGACTCTGTAGGAGTGATATGGCTGACTGACTGGAACCCTGAACAGGAGTGTTCCTGTTTGAAAGTGAGGACACGGCGATATATTGTTGCCTATCCCACATGTTACCCTAGGAGTAAAACAGAGCTGGATGATGGGGATAAACTGACCAATGGTTGTCTTCAGGCTGGACAGAGTGGAAGTCCTTTGCTTATTCTGGTTATCAGGAAATCGCATACAACCTTCTGTGAGGGTATGATAGGACTACCACATGGGGAACAAGGCAGAAAAAGCACACCACTTTACTTTGGAAAGACATTACCATGGTTCATACATTCAGTGGGAGAAGTTGCTGGTACAGTGTGGCGGTGAAGTGGTGCAAGCAGCTTCACTCCATTGCACAACCTTGACTGTGCACTGAACCATCCACATGATCATCAGTCATGTGCAGGCTTGGTTCATATCATCTTTTCACCTCTTTCATATCGGATAAGCAACATCAACTGGGCCTCCGCATGACTGGCCATTTCTGCAGAAAGTGTGGTTTACACTGGAAACTAATTGTGTTTTAGAGGAATAGGACTTGGCTCACCCATCATAGGGTGGCTGTTTTTTTGTTTGTACCTTCTACATGTGCTTGCACAAACACTGAAAAGTAACTTAAGTGAAGCAGAGGAGCTCCCTATATATTACAGATCTTTGAATCCCTTTGCATGTTGTACAGGAATACTGTATAGACAAACACCAGGTCAGCTAGTGTGGGAGAATGCAGCAGAAATAATAGAAAAAGCAGCATTTGCAGATGGCTTAGTGTCTCCTGTTGCAGTGCTATTACATGATATATTACTGATATAGTTGGGGTTATTTTGTTCTGCTGCAGTTTAAAATGTTAGCATTAACAATATTAAACAATAGTAAGCTATAGTTGTGGTGACATCACAATGCTCAAAATGGCTACAAGTTATTACATGAAATAGGTGTTAATTAGACAAGAGTAGCAAGAATCCCAGAGAGCTGAGAAGAGGGTTTAACATGGTTTCTACTGGCATCTCCATTGACAATCCAGCACCTGACTCCAGGGGTCACTTTTCCATCTGCTCTGTGTGAGAAGCCCACTCCCAAGTGATACGTAATGCCCTCACTTCTTGGCGAGGTGCATTTGCCCTTGGCTTGCTGCAGGCAGTGGCAGGAATGCCAAAGAGCTTGGGGAAGTCTTTAACCTTCTGTTCTCTCTGTGTCGCCTTTAGCTGTCCCACCATCAAGATGGGTTAATAGCTATGTATTGAGTTGTATAATCTTTTATAAGCTGCTTTGGGGATTAATTTATATTGAAAGGCAAGGTATAAATCTTTTAAAATAGATAAAGAGGGAAAACAAAAGGATTCACCAGCTTTTTCACCTTTTTCTAATAATAAAAAAATCTAGCACCTGAAAAAGAAATCTGTCCTATGTTTATGGGAAGGTTCATTCATTTATCATGACCCCTTGACATTCAGTTATAGGCATAAATGGTCTAACTTCTCACTGGAGTTCTATCCAAACTAAAAATCACTAATATGCTATTTTTGTGCTTTATTTCTTTTAAATCAAATCACTTCAGAATCACTTAAGGAAAGGTTCCCCATATGCTTACTGCTGTACCATCTGGCCTGTTTTCAGGTCATTACAATCTGTTGTGTAAATAAGTTCCATAATATGTAGCAAACATGCACAGTTTTCTCCAAAATGTTGAGTCCGTATATAGAGGCACAGAGTCAAATTGAATTTGATCTAAAACTCAAGAGTGAACCTACCCCATCCTACCCCCATGCCTGGAAGTGATGCCTCTTAATCATTTCATGACTTGAAGAAAGTATGAATGGATTTCAGTAAAAAGCAGAATGCCTGAGGTGCTGTCAGTAGAACTGGATATCACATGGCTCTTCTTCACACATACAAACTACTAACTTAGGTTGCTGCAATAATCAAGTGATTAACATGCATGTGAGACACCATTATTTGAAAAGAAACCAGAGGGAGCAAAAATAAGAGTAGGTTATTGGTTCAGAAGAAGCGTTCCACTAAAATTAACTGCTGTGGTGTTAACTCAAATGAACTATGGTCTTGGGGATACTTTTGTAACTTGTTAAGACTAGTAGGCAGCCTGCATATGGAAGGATTGCTGCTTTAAGGCATCTACCCAATGTAGCAGATTGCAGACTGGACAGCAGTTTTATGCATATACAGTGTGAATTCCCCACCCCCCATGGCAGCTTTCCCAGCCTGGTGCCCCCTCTTTTTGGTTTCCCAGCCTGGTGCCCCCTCTTTTTGGACTACAGCTTCCACCAGCACAGCCATTGAGGAAGCTGGTGTATTATTTGTCCCTTCTAACAGAATGGGACTGATTCCAGTCTTAGGATGGGTTGCAATGTCTTACTGTTGAGCTTTTGGTGTTCAGCAGCTTCAAATGTTTACTAAAAGGACTGCTTACCTATTGGAAAAATCTGGTGATAATTTGTAGAGAGGATAGTTA